ATATATAATGTTTACGAATATCAGTGTAACAAGGGCAAATTAAAGTAAAATGGTACTCATCTTCAACTAAATTTAATGTACAATGTTTGCATAATCTATCTTTTTTATCAATTTTTGACCATCTACCAGTTTCAATTTCTAATTCAAGGACTCCTAAACGCAACTTAGTAAGAATACGTCTATAATTAAAATTTTGTATATGCATTAAGTATAGTTCGATTGTAAAATTATATTTAAATGTCACATAATACTTAAGTCTGTAAAATAAATTAATTTGTTCATGAAAATTGTGACGTTCAATATCAGTTAGACGAGTAGTTATTTCAGATATAAAAGCAACATTGTTCTCAACATTTTGTTCATACCAATTTATACCAAAACCAATTGAACATAATTTCTCCTTAATAAAGTACAACCAAGATTTATCGTTGGACTGTAATCATCTTAACTGGAATCTATAACAACTGTAAATACAACTTTTATTATCTGCATTAATTAAACGTAACCAATAACGTAAAGCATTTCTAATACCAGCAACAGAAAGTGAAAATCTCCCGCATTCACCCATAACTGCCATAGTTGGAGCTGTGCTGCCTATTCCTAAAATAAATCTGCAAAACCTGGAGTGAAATTTTTCAATAATTGGTATGTCATTGATTCCCCAGATCTCACTGCTATACATTAATATTGGTACTATTTTTACATCAAACATTTTGTTTCACAAATGTATTGGTAAGTTGCCAAATTGGTTATGTATTAATCGTTTTAAAGTAAAAAGAGCTTTGTTTGCTTTTGTACAGTTATAACTAATTGCATTCGTCCATGTGCCATTTGAATTAAACACTACACCAAGATAATTGTAAGATTTAACTACTTGTAATAAAACATCTTTATAATACCATTTTTCTTTTTTTTTTATTTTCCCCCATTTTTAAAAACGACAACATTACTTTTTTCAATATTAACAGTAAGACCCCATTTATCACAGTAGACAGCCAATTTGTTTAAAGAAGATTGCAAACCAAAAACAGTGTCATTCATAAGAACAAGGTCGTCTGCATAAAGTAAATGGTTAATGAGAAAATCGCCAATTTGAATTTTATGTGTACGTTCCGATGTATTTAATATTTTACTTAAATCGTTAATAAATAAATTAAAAAGAAAAGAGGATAGAAGTGACCCTTGTTGAATACCAATTAAACATCTGAATTGATTACTGATAATACTTCCAACTTTTACATGGGCAGAAAGTTTATCATACATTGAAATAATAATGTTAAGTATATTTTGTTTTAAACCTTCTTTCTTTAATTTAAATATAAGAAACTGATGATCAATTGAATCAAAGGCTCTTTTTAAATCAATAAAGGCAACAAGGCTCATTTTAAATCAATAAAGGCAACATATACTCTACTCTCATCGTTTACAAATAATTTTTTTTATTCTTACGTCTATTCTTACGTCTATAAAAAAAAATACCTGTCATATCAAAATTTACAGTAACGACAATCGATGAGAGGTAAGTATTGTTCCACGAGGTTTTTCTTAGCGATATTTTCCTGTAATAACATTGTTAGTGTTACATAATTGATTAGGCGGCTATTTTATATATGTATTTCCTGAATTTTTCGCTGAAACGTGGTTATTTAACCGATTCCTTACCATAATCGAATATGCCGAAATTAAACATTTTGTTTATTGCCATATTATTCTTTTTAATATAACGCAAGGTACGGTACTATAGCTCATAATCAATTTATGGTAAGTTTATCGAATGAGTTTATGACATTCGTTCGTCATCCTAGACCTGATAATACACTGTAACTCAATCAATGGAATCGATCAATGGAATATTAAATTTCATCGTTTTATTCACCTATTTTTATAGGTTAGTTCCCGCATATAGACCTATAAATAATTTTACCATAAAATATACGTTTTTAAAAAAGTTGGTTGGTTTTTAGTATTGTTAAAGATAAAGTGCTCTTTTGATTATCACCAGAAAACGAAATCAGTTGATGATAGCAAGGAAAACTTTTCTCGTCATAATTTCCAGTTGAACGCCTACAACTTATCAAAATGAACAATACTGTATAGGCCGCTATCATTTTTGTGTCAGTTAACTGATGGTGAGGAAAATGTTCTTATTGTTAATAACTGTGAATTAGGCCTACATTAAGAAGCAACTTGAATAATGCATTTTTATTTTTCAACTGTTTATATTAGCTCAGTATGGGTGATTTAAAATAAATGTAACTTTGTTAGAGTATATATTTGTATTATTATATTACAATCACAGAATTAGGCAGTTAGGCCTAGGCCTGAGTATGTGAATTATTAGCATTCAATAAATAAAAAATATTAATTATGATCCGAAACGAAATCACTGAGAATATAAATAGGACCTAGGGCCTACGCTAGATGTTATATTTTGTTTAATGAGCTCCTCCCACGTTGCGCGAAGTGGTTGTACTGGCTGTAATAAAGATATTATAAAAGAAACTTCTATAGGGCTCGTATTCAATAGCTAATTACGTGTTCAATTTGTATTAATATTGTTGTTTTTGTTTTTGTATTTTTTTCGTGCAAACTTGACCCCACATCGACCTCTGCTGCATAATTAATGATTGTCAACATGGCGATAAACCAAGCGGTAATTTGTGACGCCCTTTCTCTGTTGTAGACCACATCAAAACATGTTGTAAATTAAGTATACATTTGGGGTAAGTTCAGACACAATTTAACAAATGTGTTTTAATTTCAGTCATATATTTTGTTTTTATCTACAAAGTGGGGTTTGTTTGGTGAATACAAACAACTGCTGCAGTGCTAGGCCTCTCTATGCTAGCTAGTCCTGCCTAGTTCTAGGTTACGCCTGAATGAGCCGAGTTGTGCACTGTAAATCGTACCTTTTGGCAAGGGATGACCAGGAATCAGGATTCACTATATGGGCGGTAACCTTCTGTCTCGTTTGTATAGACTTGCGTCTGAATGGCTCACACCTGGAATTTTATGGTTATCTATTCATGGAGATCGTCTATTCTTTCACTTTTACTAATCAGAATCGGTTCGTTTTATTTAAGAGTAAGTAATTTTTGCCAATTGTTGTTATCAATTAATTAGGGCCTAGGCCTATTCTCATAGCCTGCCTGCTGAGCCTGGGCTGGTGGGCACTGTAGTAGGGCCAAGAGGGCTACTGAACTGTCCCTGTCCCTTATTAGCTAATCTTTCGGTATATTACTTGTCAATGACTAATGCTTCATGAATATTAGACATAATGATCAATAATTATAACTCAAATAAAACATTAAAATGCCTTACAAAACTTATATTTCAAAACAAAAACAAAAACAAAAGTGAACAGTTTTAAGATGATGTTTGAATAGACTCCACTTCTGGCAAGTCAGCAGGAAGTGCGTTCCAGGTATGCTCATTGTCAATAGAAAATGCACTGTTACCGACTTTCTTCTTCGATTTTCGAAGCTGGGTGGAGTCTTAGAGGAATTGACACCTATAATTAGATTATTGCTATATAAAGGAATAATGGAACTTGAATACATTTGAAAACATTAAAAAAAAAAAGGATTTTGTACCTGATTCTCTGTTTAATATAAATAGGAAGTGAATGTAGCGTCCTAAGAAATCCATCGGAGGGCTGCTTCCGTCCATACGCAAAGACCAGCCGCACTGCTTTTTTTTTAAATTGCAGTATTCTGTTAAAGTCAGGCTCCGGAGGAAAAAAATTTTTTGATATGTTGTAGAACTGAATAAGGTGTAAAAATGAGCAGTTACGCCCCTTTTTCCCCCAGTTTTTAAATATTAAAAAATCTGTATCTCATTCACCGTTCCCCAGTTTTTAGTCAAACAACTTTTTTCTGTCTTAGAAAAATCAGTTCTACAACATATCAAAAATTTTTTTCCTCCGGAGCCTGACTTTAAGATCAACTTCACGAGTACCAAACAAGAACGAATTTGATAGTCAAGCTGAGGCAGGAGCAGACCTCTGACGGCGTGACAAGCGCCAATATGTTAAGAATATGACAGGTTTTAGATTTACATAAGGCATTAACTAAAGATATTCATTGAGTTCTTAAACATTTTTGGAGCTTACGATTCTGCGCACCTATTTTCCTAGTGATTTCCAAATGATGGAAAAAAAGGTGGTTATGCCCCTTTTTTCCCAGTTTTTAAATATTCAAAAATATGTATCACATTAACCATTAAAGAGTTTTTTCAAGTTCCCTTTTTCTGTCTTAGAAAAATCAATATTTATAAAATTTATTCTTTTGTGATATAGTAGTTAATTTTATTTCATAATCAATGGGCGCCCGTTATAAAGCTTGCTTGTTGTGGCGACCCTTTTTCCACTTTATTCAAATGTTCTGTCTATGTATTTTGTATTGATATTGATGATGTGATGTGGAAATAAACTTTATATTGAATTGAATTATATTGAATTGAAATTGTACAACATATCAAAAATGTTTTTCCCCCGGACCATGGCTTTAATCACATAAATCATATTTATACACAGTATGTTGTTCTAAACATAGCTTAACTTTTTGTATTTATCACTAAATTAATATTTTAATATCACTAAATTAATTTAATATTTATTTTTGAAAATTTCAAATTTATAAACATCAATCAATTTTTAATTAACAGAATTCCCCATTAATTATCTTTCATAAAAGGTAGTTTTATTGTCAGAAACACATCTTGTTGGCTTATATTGAGCACCATTAGTAAATTGAATAGTTGACCTTGTGGTTACCGAATAACTTGGAATAACATATCTTTTCTTATTCCATCAATTGATGAGTCATACAATAAGTATTCCTATCATTCCCATTTCTTTCCAAAGAAAAGATCAAAGTTCTTGTAAAGGAACACCAACACTCAAATGAAATTTCAAGATTAAGATCTATATGTAGGTGATCGGCACTACATGGACCAAGCTTCGCCCTTCAAGACTATATTCCATTTGTTCAATCAAGTTAATAGTTAGTGTGGTAGTTTGGGAAGGGAGAAGTGACGTCCCTATCCCATGATGCATAGGTACCATTGTATTGTATTTTTTGTGTTTCATTGTGTTTGCATGGATATGGGCCCAAGATGGCACTTGTATAGCAATAAAAGAAATTGAATTGAATGGAAAATTAAACACTAAAATCTGTGGTTGTAATTAATTTGAAAGCATGAAATGGTGACTAACATAATGTGGGAAACTAGTAGAAAAAGCATGTCATTAAAAATATACACTGTATATAGATTTAACATTAAAACTTGCCGTGAAAATATCTTGCTCAAATAAATGTCTAGATTATTGGCTTAGCAATTGCTCCGACATATTTACAAATTGAAAAATGTGAACGTAATCGTCTTGCATTACCAATGACCCAGATGACCTCTCAAGAAGCAGGTCATTATATTCAGTGTGGACACAGAAAGGATCTTGCTTTATCCCTCAGGTTCACTTTGCATGACCTAAGTAGCCCATTACATTCAATGTAGATCTCAACGTATTACCCTTAGCACATTGTGCTGTCTGAAATACAAGCACGCTATAATGTGTTCGCAATAATAGGTCCAGATCACCTTGGAAAGTGCTGCTCTGTTTAGTAGCCTATTATTCGTATACAATGGTTATATTCAGCCAAGATTTTTGACAGACAATATTTTTTGACGTTCTTTCATCAGATTTGAATTTGCATAATTCATGAATAGCATCCTGGATAATCTGGTCATGCTTCATACTTCTCGTTTTTCCATAATTTTTTTTCACTGTCTGGCATCTGTCTTGCTCAACATACTGTACCTATTAAGTCTTGCGTATTTGGCATCAGACCCAAGTATTCTTATGCCAGCTCTCACTCTCAAGGACCAATAATTTTCCTTGCACATATACAAAATACCCAATAAAATAATATAAACCATTAATATTTTTGTGATTTGCTAGCTATATAAGATCACAATTAGTATTTTTTTTTTCTAATTCAAGGAGTAAAATTTGTGCATAAATACAAAATAACCTAAAATAAAGCTAAACATCTTGACATGTTATTTAACATGGAGGTCCTTAATATGTTTTTGATCCAGGAGGAGTATTGAGCTGTGCTGTCCATTCCTTGATAGGACCATTTCTCGATAACTTTCTGCCATGTTTAAGAAATTTACGAAAAATTGGGGGAAAAGAGTTAATAATGTGCAAGCGTATGGAATATAAAAACTCTCAATCACATGATACTTAACCCTTGTCAAAGCTGTCTTGAACAAGGTAGTTTTTACATGGAGGCACAATAGTATTCTCTTTTTATCTTGTTAAATATTTTTTAGAATCCAATAAGGACAGTACTATTATTGTGGACCTCCGTGGTGTATCTGCTGAAGGGGTAGGGGATACTTTTCCACCTAATTTTTTGGTTAAAAACTGTATGATTATATGAGGCATGTTGTGGCAAAATGGCTAAGTTGTAGCAAAAATTGAAATCAAAGTTATTGGTATTTTCAGATACCTGAGTATGTGATCTTTAAAATAAGGGGTCATTCATTGAAATTGGACATTTCAAGCCTAAGTTATTGAAAAGTGAAAGTATAATACTCTTAAGAATCAAGATAAACATGATTTTGAGTAATTGCCTTCAAGTTATTTGTGCATACATTGTTTAATACTATAGAATGAACTATCAAAATAACATTAAATAAACAATTTGTTGACCACTTCCAGAACTAATATTTTGGTACATGATTAATAATAAAACATTAAACTGTTGATCTATAATGAAAAAAAATTTGGATTTTTAGGCAATTTTTGAGCTCCCATATTTTATAGCTCATTTACTCAATACTGGCCTGTGTGACAACTTATACATTTCGCTACATGCCTCATATTGAGAGATACAGGGAGGAAAAATACAATTTGTAAAACTTAGTCGCTTTCAAAACCAACATTGAGAATGCCCATGCTGCAGTACATTTTTTTTGTAGATTCTATATTTTGAATTGAACAACAAAAAAAAAAAAAATGTTTGTGATTTGCTATTTATGTAGGATCATATGTTTCTGGGTGCAAAATAAAGATTCTTCTGAATGAATTCTGCATTTGTCTAAACTTAATCAAGCCATGTTGTTTCCTTCTTCCAAAAATTTTATTTTATTTTTTCTCTCCACGCTTCATAAAAAAAATCCTTCCAGTAAAAATAATGAAAATGTGCCTATATTACAGTCATAGTTACAGTTCTGTTGCAGTGCCATTAATTGGAATTCAGATTAAGCTCTGTACTTGTTTACTTTCAAAAGGTCACACCTTCGCATAAAAAATATTTATTTATTCTTACTTGATAGTAGAAACTTATCTCTGATTGGTGTGTTGGATTCTAAGAAATGTGCAGATCCCAGGCTCAAATTTACTGTAAGTGCGATAACGATTATTACCGGTACCTGATACGTAAGCCCAGATGAACTCAACATAGATACAAAAAAGATCTGTTGCATTATACTTTCAGCATCACCTTTACAAAAATCAGGTGAGCAGTGTAAAATTTTGATGTATAACTGAGCAATAATAATGTGGAAACGTGGCATAGCAGTAAAGGATTTGGTTGTTAAAGTGGGTGTGTGTGGTTTGAGCCTTAGAATGATGACATTGTTTCCATGAGCCAGGCACTTTATAATGTGTTTCATCACCCTGCCATTTGTATGAGCCATATCGTCGATATGTTTAGCAGAGCTGGAAAGAGTGTGCGACTGCGCACCCAGCAGTTGGAGGCATCATAAATGTCCTGGAGACATTTTTTGGGAAAAACAATTCTAAAAAATAAACTTTTGGCCTATATACAGATGGTGCTCGAGGCATTTTATCGAGGCAATTTTCATAGTCGGAGTACAAACTTTTTTTTTTTCCTGGCCTGATGGTGTGTGCACATTTCAACAACTCAAATTGAATGCATTGTATAATTGAAATGCATACCGACTGGGAGATCGCAGTATTTTACCCACCAAATATCCACTGGTATTATAACACCAGTCTAAATATGTAAATTCTCTTGGTTTGTAATACCAGTATAAAATTTGTACATTCTCTT